ATTTCATCGAACAGGTTATGTGAGTGAGCAGAGGTGCAATCCAGCAACTGTAATAGAGTTTTCCGGTGACCGAAGGTGCAAGTGCACCTCCTTGTGCCTACACAGGTCCGCCACTGGTACTCCATCTTTATAATTATATGTAGATGTTTTATAGTGCCATGTTAAGTGAATTAAAAAATAAAAATAAAAATAAAAATATAACTAAACCAAACCAAATCGTCGATACGCAGATTTTTCAGTTGAGATGCCTACTCCTAACCCAAAGTATAGCCGAGCGGTTGTACTCTATAAATAGAATATTTAAAAAGTATTTATGGAGTATAGCCCCGCTGCTATACTATATAAATAGAAATGTATAGCCTTGCGGCTATACTCTATAAATACAATATGTTAGGAGTATAGCCGTGCGGCTATACTCTATAATAGAATATCTAAACGTATAGCCTGGCAACTATATTATGTAAATAGAATATTCTAAACGTATAGCCGCGCGTCTATACGCTGTATTAACAGTATAGCCGAGCGGCTATACGGTATGAATAGAATATTCTAAAAGGATAGCCGTTCGGCTATACTCTATAAATATATGTTAACAGTAGAGCCGCGCGGCTATACTATATAAAAAGAATATTCTAAACATCTAGCCTCGCGGCTATACGCTATAAATAGAATATCTAACAGTATAACCAAGTGGCGATACTATATGAATGGAATATGCTAAAGGCTTAATTACACCAATGCCCCTTGAAACTTCGGTCAAATCCCACATTCCCCCCCAAACTCACAATGACCGAGGTTTGGTGACCCACTTTCCCCCTACAGTCAACTCCATCTAAAAATCTGTTAACTTTGATGACGTGGCAAGCGGAGCCCACATCCAATATAAAGCACAAGTAATAGGCATATGAATATGTTATCCCAATAGTCACGATATTCATTGCCTATGTTAGGAATAGCATGCAATCTCAGATCAAGATAGGGATTCGCAGGCGAGACAGAACTTATTTGCATGGAACATGGCGTATAACCGATCAAAAACAGATTATCACTTGGTCCCTCATTGATACAAAAGGCAGCATATCATCCTTGTCTTAATCTTTCATGAATTAAGTATATCACATGCAAGCGGCTGACCAGGTAAACAGCAACTAGAATGATCGATACTCGAACATCAAGCAATGCCATCAGTCGCGAAATGAACTCTGGATGGCCCCGCCACGCTGCTCCAGTGACCAAATTTCCATCAGTGAAGCAACGATCTATTGGATCAGGTTCCAGCCATGTTGCTCCCGACAAACCACATTAAGCTTCACTGCTGGGCATGCAGTGCATTTCTTTCTCTATAAATGTAGGCAGTGGATAACAATTAGGGCATGCTAAAAACTTCATAATGTGCAAATAAGTAAATTCACCATCAATCAGAAGAATCAGAAACAAACAGAGCAGAACTTCAAGGTGGTTGCTTTTGGACTTTGCAATTAAATCTTCACTCTGATACCACTTTATTGTCCCACTAACAAGTCTGACGATACACCACACTCCACCTAACACATTGTAAGACACTGAAACTGCCCAGCTTACCCTAACCTTGCTAGGTGATTCCCTATCTTAGCCTAGTCTTGGTGGTAACAGATAGAAAATCAGTAAAATTCGTAACAAAATGATTATAGTGGTTGACAAAAGCACAGAATTGAATTAGTAAACTTCTTAATTCGACTTGATTGATAAACTCAAAGGATAAGGACTTTGCATAAAGTTTCAGGAAACAAATGTGTAGTCTGGCCGAAAAAAGAAAGTACTAGCTGGGGAACTGCTCTTAAATGAGTATGTCGATAACCTTACCTGCAGAACACCAGCAGCAGCTAAAATCTGCTGCCCATGGCAGATGGATGCAACTGGTTTCCCAGCTTCCACGATTTGCTTCACTATTTCAATAACTTTCTCATCCAATGCCAAATATTCTGGAGCTCGACCTCCAGGGATTACAAGAGCATCGTAACTTGAGACATCAATAGTATCAAAATCAGCTGTTAAAGTGAAAATGTGGCCTGGCTTCTCACTGTAGGTTTGATCACCTTCAAAATCATGGACAGAAGTTGTGCAGATATCACTAGCTTTTTTCTTGGGGCAAACTCCATCAACATGGCATCCTAGAGCTTAAGGGATTGAAAAGGCACAGTTATCTCATAATCTTCCATGAAATCCTACAAATATTGAGGGAGAGAAAGTGAATGATGCTCAGTAACTGTATAAGAATTAGTTCATTAACAAACGACAAGCCCCTTTAAGGGGTTACACTAAATTAAAACAAGCAGCCAATCTTGGTTTATCAGCAATCTTATCACTGTTGTTTGATCCAAAACAAGAAGTAAAAGAATATTTTGATGTAGGATAGCTTAAATAATCAGCCTACAACTGTTTATATGGTGGGCTTTAAGGTTTGTCAACTTGTATTTTTTGACATGTGGCGTAGCAGGCGCTAGGCGCCAGGCAGGTCCTCTATTTTTCTTTATAAATCGTATAGCCGGGCGGCTATAATCGGGGTTTTTATATTTTTTTTGACACGTGGCGAAATGGGCGCTAGGCGGGTGGTCTTTTTTTTATTATAAATCGTATAGCCGGGCGGCTATACTCAGTGTTTTTTTAATAAAAATCGTTTAGCCGTGCGGCTATACTATTTTTTGACACGTGGCCAAACGGCGCAAGCGCCAGGAGGGTCCTTTTTTAACAAATAGTATAGCCGCACGGCTATACTCGGATTTTTTAATAATAAAAATGGTATAGTCGCACGGCTATACACATGGCGAAATGGGCGCTAGCAGCTAGGCGGGTACTTTTTTTATTATTATTTATAAATAGTATAGCCGGGCGGCTATACTCAGTGTTATTTTTTTTAACAGAAAAGACTCGGGTCCTTTTTTAAAATAAAAAAAACATTTTTCCCCAATTTTTGTTTATCGATAAGGATAGTTTAGAGCCTCATCCATTACTAGCCCATTATGCAAGTCTCTATTGTCCCCTTTTGAGTTTTTACTTTTCCATAGCTATTACATGTATAAATAATTTAGTATTTTCATGTTTAATAAAAATGCAGGATGGTGATTTTGCAAACTCTTTGCCAACCAGAACAACAATTACAAACAAATATTTTTTATTACTCAGGGTTTTAATACTATTTTTGACATGTGGCGAAATGGGCGGGTCTTTTTTTTTATATAAATAGTATGGCTGTGCGGCCATACTTAGATTTTTTAATAATAAAAATAATATAGCGGGGCAGCTACACTACGGTTTTTATTATAAATAAAATAGTATTACTGTTTTTGACACGTGGCGTAATGGGCGCTAACAGCTAGGCGGGTCCTCTTTTTATTATTATTTATAACTAGTATAGCCGCGCGGCTATAATCGGTGTTTTTTTTTTTAAAACGGCGATATTACGGTTTTTATTATAAAAAATAGTATAGCCGACCGGCTATAGTCAGTCTATTTTTTTTTTTACAAAAATAGTATAGCCGCACAGCCTTACTAGGATCGTTTTTTAATAAATATTTTTTATAAATAGTATAGCTAAGCGGCAATACTCTTCACATAAGCCACTGTGATTTTTTTAAAAATTTTAAAAAAAACTGTTTTCCCCCGATTTTAGTTTATTGATAAGGGTAGTTTAGAGCCTTATCCATTAATATTAGGCCATTATCCGAGTATCTATTGTCCCCTTTTGAGTTTTTACTTTTCCAGAGCTATTACCCGTATAAAAAATTTAGCATTTTCACGTTTAATACTCGTATTATACACATATACACGTATTTTTCATGTTTAATACACTTTTTTTTACAAAATTTTCAATTATACACATAATTTTCGCATATTATTGAATAAAAATAATATATATTTAAAATTTTAAATAAATCATATCAAATATTATATAGTGGCCAAACTTATCAGTTGTAATTTGCCAAAATATTGCCGAATAAAAACGTACGTATTTTATTCATATTCCGCATTTTACTAACTCAAAGAATGTGAGAGGCTAAGATTATTTCTTACTTGTTGTAACAAAAATACAAGATGGTGATTTTGCAAACTCTTTGCCAACCAAAACAACAATTTCAAACAAAGATTTATGGGTATAGTAGTAAGCGTGTGGTAGTATTCTTCATGTAAAGTGTTATTTGAAATGTGAAGCAATTACCAAGAACACTCCAACACAGCGTGTAATTCTCTACAACAAATAATGTGGGCAGTAACAAAATTTAGTAGAACTCGAGAGAACAAGGTAGACTAAAGGCAAATATTCCCACACACACACCAAAAAAAAACTCTCAAATTGATTTATTGTGAAATTTCTCTCCCTTCAATATCTGCTTTGGTGATGTCAAAACTAGCAACTTAATCTATATACTAGGCTCTCTGCGCCTGTGAGAGGTTTTTTTTAAAAAAAATTTAAATTTATTTTAGAATTAAAAAAAGATAATGGTTAGTTGTGTTCCATAAAAATAGGGTCCATTATCTTATTTTTATTTTAATTTTAATTTTTTTTAATTTAAAAAATGTGAATTTACCATATTATCCTCATTTAATTAATAATTTCAATTCTTTATAAAGCAAAAGGCAGGGAATTATGAAACATTCAAAATACCAAAAAATGTCTTTGGTTAATGCAAACATTAAGAATTGAAATTATTAATTAAATGAGGATAATATGGTAAATTCACACTTTTTCATATTTAAAAAAAATTAAAATTAAAAGAAAAATTAGATAATGGATCCTATTTTTATGGAATACAACTACCCATTATCTTTTTTAATTCTAAAATAAATTTAAATTTTTTTTTAAAAACCTCTCGCAGGCGTGGAAGCACGTGCAGAGAGGTTAGTATTTATAAAGTATAAACTAATGGAACTATTACTTTTAATGTTTATTTTTAATAAATAGTATAGCCGGGCGGCTATACTCCTATTAAATATAAATACGTGTCAGCGAATTAGTGGCAACCTGGAAGCAGCTCCATGTACCTGATCGAACTCGAAAACAACCGAAAGAGTCGCACTCTCGGACTCGCCTCAGCTCTCTCAGTCGATCAAACCCACTGTCACTGTAAATCCTAATTTAGGGTTTTTATGGGTGCAGATCCATTGTCATTGTAAACCCTAATCTCTTCAAGACTGAGAGTGAGTATTTGATCAATGGCGTCGCAATCGGATCACAAGGCCGCGATAATTGACGGAAAAGCCATAGCCCAGACCATCCGAAACGAAATTGCCGAGGAAGTCCGCCATCTCTCCCAGAAATATGGCAAGGTTTGCTTTTTTGCTCTATTTATCTGAATTAATTTTTGTAATTATTTATTGGCTTATTATCACAAAACGTCCCTGTTAGATTGCATCCTTAAAGTTTTTTTCTATCACTCATGATCCCTAACGTTAATATGAAATCTCCAATTTTATGAGGGATTTAAAAAAACTGTTAAATCTCCAATTTTATGAGGGATATAATCGTCAACTCCCATTGTATCATCAACCTCCACCTCTTCTGCATCTGTGTCTTGCTCATAGTCACTATCTTAGAACTCCGTATCATCTTCTTCACTCTCTTCATCTACTTCATGGCCTCCCTCAGCCCATTGCAGTGACCCCACCAAACTGCCCCAGGAAAAGAACAAATAATTACTGCCTGTGACTCATGCAACAAGTCTCTAATCTTCCCGAGGAGTTAACATTTTTAACTATTATCATGACAGTAGATCAGAAGACAGTAGAACAGATTTTATATGCATTATGAGCCATCCCCTATCAATTTCCTTCTCAATGGTCCTTTGAATAAAAGCATGCATTAGCACAAATCAATAGTTCATATTGCTTTCCAGCCATGGCCCATGAGAAAAAGCATTTACATCATCAGAATGCTCACCTGAACTAGAAACTCAGATCCTCTGGTTTCCTTATCACCAGAAAGCACAGGGATGGATATTGCACTTTTGTTTTTGTTACTCAGAAACTCAGCATCTCCCTGTTGTATGACCCTCTTGTCTTTACCCAGCAATGATGAACCAACTTGAGCATTTTGTGCACTTGAACTGTCAGATATATGTGAACTCTCACTTCTCAGATTAATATTGGGAAAACCACCATATGAATCAGAATCTTTTGCAAGAGATGAATGCTTAGGGTTTGTGCTTAGTTTACACCTTTTTGCAGAGCAAGGTGTTATCAGTTCTTCGCCTCATTTCTCATTTTTGCCAGGAAAACCAAATACTTTACTATCTTGACATTGCAGAGTTTCCCTCTCACAAATAAGCAGCTTTTTCTCATTTCGGAATAGATTATTTGAACACTTCAATGACACAGACTGATCCTTACAGGAAGTAAGAGATGAGCGATTGACAGGAAGAACTTCCCCTAACAGGCTTGAAAGTTTGTCCCTGCCAGCTTTAAGTAGGGAAGAAGATGACTTTACAGGGCAGTCTTGACTGACTTTACAGGGAAAGAGCTGGGAATGCTAGTGAAAATGAAGAGAGTGAAGAAGATGATACGGAGTTCTTTACATAGTGACTATGAGCACGACACAGATGCAGAAGAGGTGGAGGTTGATGACACAATGGGAGTTGACGATTATATCCCTCATAAAATTGGGGATTTAACAGTTTTTTTAACAGAGGGATTATTTAAGAGCACCCATATTAACGTTAGGGACCATGAGTGATACAAAAAAACTTTAAGGATGCAATCTGATAGTTTCACAAATGTCAGGGATGTTTTGTGATAATAAGCCTTATTTATTTAGTGAATAAATTTTGACAATGCAATTATTCAATTATGCAATCAATCAATGGTTTAGGTTCCGGGACTGGCAGTAGTGATTGTAGGGAACAGGAAGGACTCTCAGAGCTATGTGAGCATGAAGAGAAAGGCTTGTGCTGAGGTTGCCATTAAATCCTTGGACATAGACCTCCTTGAGGATGTGTCCCAAGACGACCTCATTGCCAAAGTTCATGAATTGAATGCCAATCCCGATGTTCATGGTTGGTTTCATGAAAGATGATCACTTTTTCCATTCTAAGTTGACAAAATATAATTGCAAAATTCTTATTTTCAGCTTGGTGGAATCTGAAACCAGTTGTTTATGTGCTACATTTTCGTTGTTGTTCATCGTGAAAGTAGGTTTTGTTTTGTTGGTAGGTATTCTAGTCCAGCTTCCCTTGCCTAAGCATATTAATGAGGAGAAGGTGTTGAGTGAAATCAGCATCGAGAAGGATGTTGATGGCTTCCATCCTCTCAACATCGGCAAGCTCGCGATGAAAGGCAGAGAACCTCTGTTCCTTCCTTGCACTCCCAAGGCAAGACACTTGAGTTATGTACTCAAACACAGATAGATGCAGACGCACACACACGTATGCTTTTGTTTCTTTGGGTATACTTTGTGCCAAACAAGGGAACCTTGTTATCCAAGAAATACTCATATGGAGCTGTGAGAGGCTTTCATGTGGCAGGTAGCAGTTTTGTTTTATGAGATGATTTTCTCTGCAGGGCTGTCTGGAACTTCTGTCGCGGAGTGGCATAAGCATAAAGGGAAAGAAGGCAGTGGTGGTGGGCAGAAGTAACATAGTCGGATTGCCAGTTTCGTTGCTGCTTTTGAAAGCAGATGCTACAGTTACTGTAGTCCATTCTCATTCTCATGATCCAGAGAGTATCATTCGTGAAGCGGACATTATTATTGCTGCAGCAGGGCAAGCAATGATGGTAGGTAGTTCACAGATTGTTGTTCCTTGATATGCAGTAACATCGTCTTATGACATACCTGTTTTCTCTCGTTTAATATTTGTTTGGCTTTCCATGAAAATTCTAGTACTTAATTTGTTCAAGTTAAAAGTAGTGCTGAAGACCATGGTAATTTGTTCACCCATAAATACTAGCACATAACACTAAGATCCCACATACGAACTGCTCCATATTTTTCAGTAAACACAACTTGTACATAGTTAAATACTTCAAACACCTTAAGATATGCTTGAACAAGAAAACTTAAATGCAACTAATAAGAGAATAGGTATACTTGGTTGTTTCCTCCCATATATTCATCCCAGGTGAAGGAAAAAGGAAATTCTTCGGCCTTGGTACTTCCATCATTTTTACTTGGAAGTTATAAGACAATGCCTTTGATGCTTTATAAGCAGTGGTCTGGTGTGTATAAAATAGCCCTCTTCACTAAGTTGTATCATTGCTTATATGAAATGACTGCCATCTGTTAGTGGAGCAAACATCGTTTCTGTGTGTCGTATAATACATTCCTTGTCTTGGTTGGACGCTGTGGGACGTAGGGTTTATGTTTCAAATTGATGAAATCTATCTGAAATTTGTTAATCATTTTTCAGATCAAGGGGAGTTGGATAAAACCAGGTGCTGCAGTCATTGATGTCGGCACAAATGCTATAGACGACTCAAGTAGAAAATCAGGCTATAGATTGGTTGGAGATGTCGATTTCCAGGAAGCATGTAAGGTTGCTGGATGGGTAACTCCTGTTCCTGGAGGCGTGGGCCCAATGACTGTTGCAATGTTACTCAAGAACACTTTGGATGGTGCTAAGCGTGTTATTGCAAAATAAAAGCTGTTGCTATTCCAGCCAAGTGGGCCTAATTTAGAATTTAGAATTTGAAGATGTACTAGAAGTTTTATTTTTATTTGTATTTTTACCCCTCAACAGAATATCAATAAAGAAAAAGGTTTTGCTTGTGCGGATTGACAATCAAATGGGGTGGAATTCGTTGTCAATTAGTGGATAACCTACCTTAAGTTGCTAACTATTTTGAGATATATCATGTGGCCTTTGATTTGAAAACACGACAAATATCATGAGCCATGACTCATGCTATGGATAAATAAGGGGAGAAAAGGATAAGCTACCTTCATGTTTTTGTTTTTGGGTTTTTTGGGTTATTGGGTTTGTTATATCTTCATCTTTTCTGTTGCTGTTTGGGCAGATGAGCAGCATCGCATCAGTTGAAAGGAATACTTTGAAATCTTTAGAGGATAAAATAAATGAATAAATAACAAGCACAACAAGCGTTTGCTTAACTTGCATCATGCGTACACTTCAACATTCTAACGTGCACATAATATATAATGAAATTAGAAAGAAAATATGTTCAAATTATCATTATTATTATTATTATTATCAACTGCGCAAAAAATATTAATTAATGGACAGTTTTGAATTGTTTTAGGGTCTTCATAAGAAGAAAAATCCAAAAACAAAAGCAGCATGAAACCCCATATTCCATAACGTTTAGAAGGAATTCGATCAGAAAACCAGGCCTCTTTTATTACTTAAGCACAACACCAAATCTATATCTAAACATTACAACAATAGAATACACAATGCAACTGGATCATCAGCCGCCGCTGATATTGCATTACCAAAATTAAAATTAAAATTCGAGCAGCTTCATTTTCTTATAAAATAAAAATAAAAATTACTATCTCAAAGGCCGTAGGCAAACATAGTCCAGAAAATGTGACTCAACAGAGGCAATACGCAGAATTTATGCTTCGAGCAAGAACAGCACCCGAAAACAGAATGAGACTTAACAGAGGCAGTACTCAGAATTTATGCTTGCAGCAAGAACAGCTCGGTGACGAAAAACTTTTTGGCGGCTTGTCTTAATCTAATATTAGAAAGTAGTGCACAACGGAGATACATAATACATACATATATATATACAGATTTAAGGGATTGAGGAATACATTCTAAGGAGAAAAAAACAAAACTAAAACATCTAAAAGTTGTCAAATAAACATCTGCGCATTGTTACTGCAAATTCACCAACCTTGTGAGGATGAAAGAGGACTGCACAAAATCCTAAACAGATAGCTGCAGCACAAATTACATAAAGTGCAGGGCGAAATCTCAAGAACCCCCCACTAGAGCGGGACATTAAGACCTCCCCAGAAGTGTAACAGTTAGCCACTCTTGGCCATTTCTTGATCAGGTTAGCTTTCATGACTGCTTTTTTACTCAAGAGTGGAACAGTTTCACTTCTCTCATGAGAAGTTGAACCCACCATCACATCCACCCTACCATCCACAGTTATCTCCGTATCCTGCATAGTATTACATAACAATTAACAGAACAAAACTTGTATCAGTTTATCAAATAAGAGTACAGAAAATAACAAGTATGTAAATTATGTACAATTAGTGACCGCCCTACCCTCAATTGGATATCTCTTGCTAGCTATAAGAAGTACGAAAACATTTTACTGATAAAAATGTGATGGTGAATAACACAACTAGTTATAAGATCTTAGATGGCCAAAATAGAACTGTAGATTTCAATTTAGCAAAAGGGAGGAAAAAACAAGTTGTCATGCACTTAACCACAACGTAGCCAAACAGTTAGAATCAAAAAAATCCTTCACTAGTTGACTGTAGAAGTAGTATTTCAGATCCCAAAGTGATAGGAAAAGAAAGCAGGGCAGCCTCTAAGAAAAATCAGTAGGGCAATAACAACTAATGAAATGACATGCAAGCAACAAGTTTGAACTCAAATTTTTTTGGACAAAAATAAAAGAAAAGAAAATCCCTGTCAGAAATAAAAACAGTTAAATTACCAGGAAGGCAATGCCTTACCACAATATTTTCTTCTTAAAATGTTGGAATTCGAACTACCAGACTACCAGATGAGAAGAAATGTTAAATTGCTAATGAGTAAAATGTATATGAAACCAAAGCTAACTTAAAAGAAGATTTATTAATCCTTTCAATCCCCACCTCCCCCCAACCTCTCCCACCGACACC